GATGAGGACGCGAAGGGGTATGAAAAAGTGAAGAGATTTTGTGAATGTATATCATTCTCAAGGAAGACAAAATAAATTAAATGATACCCTTCATATGTTTTGAGTGAGAGGTTCCAAAATCCAGCTGAGATCAAGACATTGCTAGACCTCTCTCCATATATGCTAGGAACCACTTCATCCCCTGCAAAAAGATTTGTTTGAAGCTCAAAATGAAGTTTCTAGAGAAGGAACTATATGGTTAATTCACATTCAATTCTTGACACACTAGTGTGCTTCCCATCTTCTTGAGTTAGGATCAAGTATCATAAACTATAAACATTCTTATTAAAACAAGTTTTGACACATAAAAGTATGTGTATATGCACCTGTCCCGTGGCAAAGCATGATAGGCAAAGATGCAGCACGTGTTGTGGCCTCACGCGATTCACCAATCTTATTGCTCACATCGCTGCATCATAATAATTGTTAATGGCATTGTAAATTGGGATTCTTTTTTAAAAAAGAAATACTCAGTAGCATATTTGCAACCCCCCCCCCCAAAAAAAAAGTTACTCGCTCCAGCTCTAAATTATGTTCATATTTTTTACTTAATCTTTTAGTAAGCCACCCACTTAGACCAAATTATGTTCATACTTTTTACTTAACGTTTTACTTAATGTTTTGAAGAAATGGCTAGGAATCAAACCTTGAGCCAGGAAGCCACCCGCTTAGACCAACAACGATCTTCAAGTTGACACGATAAGGATTTCCATTTCCATATTTTCCAAGGGCAAAGCAAGTGGCTGAGTAGAGGGAGGCAGCAGCACCCATGCTGAAGCCTCCAATACCGAGTTTAACTGTCATTCCAGAAATAAACACAGTACCAGTTAACAATAGCACAGATCAAACTGAGAAGCATAGAGAAGATTAAAGACTCGTTTGGGCAACAGCAAGTTAACAATAGCAAAAGATAAAAGGAGAAGTATTGAGAAGATTAAAGACTTGTTTGGATCTGTCTTTGACAATGTGAAAAGAGGAAAACACACCATCTGCTGGCTCAGCTGACAATAAGTTTGCTATGTGTGCAGCTGATGCATCCAGCCCCTCAAAATCTTCTGGGCCATCATCTGAGAGTTCTCCAACATCAAACCCTGAGATGGGTTATTAAAAATAACTCAAATGACAGCCATAAAATATTTTAAATGATTATTTTTTATTCATCCTTACAAGCAGTGCAGGGAAATCCACCAAGTATAGCTACTGGACGAATAGGGGCTGTTGGGCATATCCATTTTATCTGCACTTAGAGAAAGTAGAGAAATTGTGAGTGGTGAATTATTGTAATAGTATTTTCAACTGAATATATAATTAAACTGGTTTCGTTTTCTGAACCTTTATTTAAGGTACTTTAATAACAGAAAGCAGGGGTGGGGGGGGGGTGGATTCAACCAGATTAAAGAAAAGGAAAAGCTTACGTTGGGAAGAGGAAGGCCTTCCAAAAGCTGGGACCAGCTGTGACAAAGAACAGAGAAGAAGTCAGAAAAATCCTTCTAATACCCTTCTATTTTATGACCATGTTTCTTATAATAATAATAAAAAACATTCACATTTCGCACTACTAAATTCTCTCACAATAAAAAAAACATTAACACCTCTCTTGTTGCCGAGTCCTTGTATGGTGTTTTTTCCTTCAGTTTTCTGCTCGTCACACTATATGTCATTGTTTGTTGATAAATACACAGGTAATTTCACCTCATGAAGTAATTTCATCTCGATTTCCAATGTCATCAACATGCTCGCTATGGAGCATGCTAACATGCTCCATATATTTTTCAATTGTTGTCAGGGGTACTTTTGGAAACAACCTGTTTACTCCTTGGGATAGACCTAAGGTCCACATACATCTTGTCCCCTCTTACCAAACCTATTGAGTGGAATAGAGTGGACTTGTTTGGTTTGGATTGCTATAGTGTTAACTAATTTTAGACATCAATAAACACTACAAATATCACACCGCTGACCTAAGCATGTCTGGTATTAAGAAGGTCATGATGATGATGATGATGATAAATGAACCAACATCTTATCATTGTTAGTCATCATCACTCCAAAACACAACACATAGTGTGAATTGTAGTCACCTCAAGGAATTGTCTTCAACTAAATCCTAAAAGTTTCAATTCTTGATTTTGCAAATGGTTTCTTGAAAAGAGAGTGGGAGTAGTTATTACCTGGAACCATTGTCTCCAAGGCCATGCAGCCAAACTATGGTAGCCTGGTGTTTTCCTGTTGGTCTCACCACATAGGTTCTCCCAAACTCAAAACTTCTTCTAGCCGTTCTACTTCCTGATCATTATTATTGAACAAAGTGTAACTATATATAGAAGATTCAAAGACCACAACATAATCAAATACAGTATCAGAAAAAGACCAAGAAAAAAAAAGCCATTTTATTCTGCCACTTAATGTAAGTTTGACAACAGATAAATAATAGCAAAAAATATCCAAATTGGGTGAGAAATATCTGAAACAAGAAATTTGATGACTAACCAGAGCCTGCTGAGGAGTTCATATAGTTCATCCTTTCCATCAAAGATTAAGTACACCCTTCAAGATATCTGTGAAGCAATGAATCTGGACTGGAGCTGCAATTCTATTAAAACAAGAGACACTGAGACTCCTATTTATAAGCAAAACACTCCATGTGTGTGACACACCAGCACATTATTTTTTTTCATAAAACAGAAGAAGAAACAAAAGGGCACTCATGAAATAGAGTGAAAAAGACAAGGAAAATAACAGAGAATATTTTCCCATATGCAGGAGTGAAAAATAATGAAGTGAAGAAAAAAAACACAGGAAAATTGACTCGTCCATCCATTCCCCCTGGTGCTCAGATGGAGGGCTCAATATTTACAGCACAGGAAAGAGAGAATCTCTGCTTGTGGGCACTGCTTGGCAGTGGCCATATATGAAGTAGTCATGGTAACCATCACAACCACAAGAAAATACAGTCAAGACAATTTTTTTCTTGAAAATTAAAAATCAAAATTGGCATCAATCATTTGTTTATGCATTTCTGATCATTGACAGATACCGGTTAAGTTTCAAAAGGCAGTGTTCAAGTCTCCAATTTATCATCATTGCAAAGTTATCCGCTCGAAAAGGATTTAACATACGAATCTATAAAAAAAAAGGGTGTTCTCTTTTAGGCATTTACACAAACAGTTAGCGTGCATATCCAAGTTGGGTTTTTCACCAACCTTGGGGGGAAAGAAGACATCGGACTTTTTGGTTGTGATCTGAAGAGTGTGGCATTGTGATTGATTCCTTGTGGTGGTTTCTTGATTGCCTCCGATGAATTTAGTAACTCGGGTCGCTTTCGAAAGGGCACAGCTATTTGCTTCGAGTCCGATAATCATCATAGCTTTTTGTTGGTATATACTCATGACAAACTCCACCACCCCCACAGCACAATGGCCAGGAAAACAGAAGAAAACAAAACTGGACCTTTCAGAGCATGACAGCCTTTCTTGACATTATTCTTCTTTTCTTCATTTTTTTTTCTTGTTGCTCCGCTCAAATTATTTCTTATGGATCAGATTTATAAAGTAAAATTTGCACTAAATAGGACTAAAACATAATGACTTTCCTAATATAGGACTTAAACTTTTTTATTCCTTAAATAGAACTTAATAATGACCTAGTGGGAGGAATAATGTCGAGTAATACTAGACATTTACTTGAATAATGACTACTTGATAATGACCAAAAGTCCTACATTGAAAAATAAAAACATATGGTCCTATATTGGGAAAGTCATTATGTTTTAGTCTTATTTAGGTAAATTTCTTATTTATAAACTTAGAGCATTTATAATGGGAATTTAGTAATTTACAATTAGTGTATTTCTGCCAATGAACGTTACACAATTGGAAAATGGAAAGAATGGTGCAGGTTCCATTCTTTGACATTAATTTGTAATCAAAGTTTAATTTATCTTCTCTCAATAATTGTCTGGTCGGGTATGAAAAGGTTCTCAGGGATGGGACTCATCCTTTACGATTGGGGCATCTCTCAGCCCAAAACTCCTCACACATCAGCACTGTACTAATTTTTAGTTCCGCCCTAGTATCTTGTAATGTTATCACCTTCAAAATCCTACTTCTATATTTATTTTACATTATTCATCATTTTTAATTCAAAGATTATATAAATTTAATACAAATATCTATTTATTAATATAAATAAATGATTAATTTAAAAATAAAAAATTGTGATAGTTAAAAAATTAAAAATAAGTGAATACAATAATAAAATTATGAAATACTACATCAATAAAAGTGAGAATTTAACATGCCTAAAAATAAAATTACCAAAGCTAAAAAAATAAAAAAGTGCCCTTGGGATTCACTTTTTGATAGTGAGAAAATAGAGAGATAAGAGTGAGTTAAAGGAGAGTGAATTGAGAGAGATGAGACTAGATGAATTGAAGTAGAAGATGTGCAATGTGTTGACTTTTTGAATTGAAAAGTAAAAAAATTAATTCGGTCCGGCGCAGCGGACCGTCACAATGGACGGTCGCCCGTCCAAATGCACTGTTTTTCACAAACGGCTAGGCGCCACATTAGCAGCAAGCTCCAAAATGCTAACGCTAATCGAAAACGTTATTCCCAAACAAGGCCTTTATAAAATATAAAGTTGACTTAAATTTAATTAATCTTGTTCACCAAATAATTTGGGTATTTATGAATAATACTCGGGTATTTAAAACTTAATTTGGGTATTTTATGATATACTCGGAGTATATCATAAAAAAATTAATTTGGTTTATTTATGATTTTCACCTAAACTGTGGGGCCTCTTTGGAAGACTCACGGATCATTGGGATGCATTCGTTTAAGTTTTAAATGTTCAAAAAAAAAAATCGTTCACAAAATGAAAAAAAAGTTGACTTTAAAGTTTGAAGAATATCATTCATAAGTGGAATATAGTCAATATACTGTAATTCTTTGATATATATCCTACGAAATCGCATCTTTATGATTTCTTTTGAAGACCATTTCCCCTTCCATTTTATCATGAAATCCTTTTATGAACGTCAAATGACTCAAATCTTGTTACCCCACTTGGAAACGATTATATATAGTGATTATAATATGGAATTTCATTGTCTCGAAAAAATAATTAGAAGGCTTTTGCTCAAATGTTCAATATATAATTCTTTAAAACTTATGGTTTTAAAAGTATTCTATAAGTTCTACTCTAAACTTACAATTTTTTTATTTTAATAGAGCTAAAGATACACTATTTTAGCTCCATTCAAATTGCTATTCCATCTTCGATTGAGCCAAAGATTCACTAATTTATAGTTTTAGGATATGATAAAATAAAACAAAATGTCTCTTAAATGTATATACACTTCTTTTAATAATCAAGTAGCAGTAAGTCAATGTAACTTTCGACGCTCACCATATTATCTAAGAACAGTCATTCTACGTTCTAAACATAGGGGTCAGATTACTTACATCCGACCTCCTCTTACCCTACATTGAGCTGGAGCCTCTGAGAACACAGCATAATGTTGTTGTTAGACCTTTTTTTCAGAATAAATAAATAAAGAGTAAATTCAATAAAGAATCCCTAGTTAAAGGTGATTTTTTCAAATTTAGTCTCCAATTATAAAATATTACATAATTAAAAATATTAGGACAAAGGGAGTACAATCAGTACATAAATGGTCCTTAATTTTTGAAAACTATTCAAAATTGGTCTTTGGGAGATTATTGTGGAAACTTTTTTTTATCATACTTGGCCTAAAAACTATTCATGAAATATTTTTAAAAATATTGAGGACGATTTATGTAATATCTAATAATTAGAAATTAAATATGAAAAATCACCTTTAATTAGAGACCATTTTTAAATTTTATTCACAAAATTTATGCTACCTACTTTTTGCCCACCCCTAAGCAATATCGAAAGCAGAGTATTGCCTTTGTCACAACTGAGTTGTGTCCCACACTCGGAGTGTGTTTAAGCACCCGCATAAGATCTCAAATATTAGCAAAATTCAAAAAAAAAATGTCTGTCTAATTTTCTTCTTTAAGCCGGGTCTCCAATATAATAAAAACAAGGAAAATACTAAGAGTACACCAAAAGTGTACCCCAAACATCCCCACCCCCTCCATCACCACACAAAAAAGGCAAGAAAAATTCAAAAAAAAAGTAAAAAATAAAAACAAAATAAAATGAATGGTAAAGAAGGGGGTTGTGTAAATTTGGGGTACACCAAAGGTGTACCCCTAGCATATCCCTAAAAACAATTGTCTGGTCTAAAAGTATTTGAAATTTAAGATAACGTGAAGTTTTACGGAGCCTATTATTCAATAACTATGCAATTACGGAGCACATCAATTACTCCCATGGCCAAAAAACGTTTAAAGCCTTCAAATGTGAGAGAAAAAACTATTGAATAGAGAACCAAACAAAAAAGAAAGAAGAATAAAAGGGAAGTCTCTGACTTTCAAGTCAGCAAAACACATTTTCTGGCCGAAAAAACCATCGTGAGTTTTAGTGATCGTCTTCATCGCCATGACCATCCGGAGGACCTCCCGGGCCAACAACCTCAAGCTGGAAAATAGGGAAATAATTAGCATTATTGTTTTGGGTTATTTTTAGTGATGCGGATTAGGTAAACCTTTCAAAACGCTGAAAGTGTTGCCAAACGGGCAATGAAACAAATTGGGCATTTAGAGCTCATTTGGTCAACTTTTTCACTAAACGTGAATCAATTTCAATGCAGTCGCTAAATCGGCTAACAAAGAAATTTGGAGGGGTTAATGGCCAGTAGCCACTTAGAATTTGAATAGATAAAAGGATACAGCCATTACACATGGGAAACTAATCTTTTCTAATCAGTTAATGTTATAGTAGTCACATTGAAACTAAAGCACTCCTTACTTCAAATGGATAGAGAAATTCACATTTTACTACCAGATGCTCTACAGCCTAGAGATAAAGTACTCACATTTCAAAGATCTTAATTTCATGCTGTTATAAATTAGAAAGTTGGACCATAAATACTTTATCTTTATATATGAGTTGCAATGTGTCATTTTTGTCCAGAACATAAACTCCTTGGGAACATTTGGAACTCAGAAAGTGCTAGGGAAAGAATGTGGGTGTTCAAACTCAATAAAATAAGTTTTTTCCAAATTTGAAAACCTATATTTATTTTTATCTTATTTCATTATATAAAGACTAAGATATCAAAACATTAGTAAAAAAAGTAGAAGCATTTTTCATTGCATTTTCCACTGTAAAGCAGACACATGAAAGCAGCTTCCCAAGACATTTTTTCCCCTTTCCATAGCATATTCTAGGAACCAAACACACCCTTGAAATCAGAAGTAAACTATCAATTTAGTGGATACTGGATAGTGTTCACTTACCACAAAATATTGTGAACACACAGGGCATTCATGCGGCTTGCCCTTCTCCAGCCAAAACCAAACAACATCATGCTCTTCTTCTGTAAAGATGTGACAGGAAACAATCTAAGACATTTTCTATCATGCAAAGTTATCAACTTAGCTGGAACGAAAGAGCATTATTCATTGGGTTCTATGACACCACACACATAAATAGTGCAACATACCGCCTTCACCTCCTGGGCACCCCACAATTCTTTTGTCGTAGTAAGACTTGACGACAGCAGGTGCTTCCTAGGAGCAAATATAGAAATAGAAAGCACAGAGAGGTTCAATCAATCATATGTCAAATATAATCACAGATTCAATAAAGAATGGATTCCAGTGCCCTAATCAAGAAAAGGAAATCATATTTAGGGGCATTTTAAGTTGAACCTAATGTATGAATGACAATTAGTTAGTATGTATTCACTCCACTTCAGACTTCACACTTTTCATTTTGGAGGAAAAAGTTGTTTCACGTGTTGTTTTATAAAACAAAGAAAATACTGAATGGTATTCTTTTTGTTCTTACCGTTATTTAAGACAAATTACCAAAAAACTAACATTAAAAGATTCAATGATAATTACTCCCTCAGTCCCAATGTATTTGTCCATTTTCCTTTTTTGGATGTCCCATTGCATTTGTCCACTTACTATTTTTGGTAAATCCTAAAAATATCAAAAGTCATTTTTGCCCCTCCTTTTTATTTTAACCCACCACAGACTTCCTCATTTATCACCCACTACCCTGTTTAGATCTAGTCTGTTCCCGTTTATAGATCTACCTATCTTCCTCCAGTGGCTTAGATTTACTCCACATATCTCTCATCCTATTCCTATTCGAACTTTGTCCCCTGTTTCTCCTTCTCTATGACCTTCAACGCTCTTCTCCATTTCGACAGCCAAATCATGGAAGCGAAGGATTTGGGTTTCTATTTTTCTTCTCTTCTGCCATCGTTGGTGCTTCTCCGGCGGTGGTCCGTTTGATTGTAAGGGGCATCTTTGTCTTCCGATGAATCTTTAAGGAGATGGACGGAAGTTTCGGAGGGGATGTGTGACAAACAGCGGTTGTGGCGGTGTTGGAGGAGGAGCAATTGGCCATGGAAGAATATTTCATCAGCCGGAGTCAAGTCGACGGCGGTGTTGGAGGGGGAGCAATTGGCCCTGTTCGGTTTGGGACTTTTTCTGATGAAGATGATGATTGGTGGAGCGAAAGGATGAGAACTCGTGAGGTGGCGGATGAAATTAAAAGGAAGGGAGGGTATTTCTGTCTTTTTTCACTGCACTGTCCCACTTTCTTGGTATTTGTGCAAAAAGATTGTGGACAAAGAGAGTGGGACGGAGGGAGTATATGTTAGTAAGTGGGAGTATTATAAAGTTTTTATCCAATTAATAACTCCTTGACATGTGTGATATCTTCCAAGATGACAATACTGTGAGCAAGAGGCAGTAATCATTAATGTAGGCAGAAGCAAGAACTGTATAGTCATTGGAATGCTATCAGCTGCTAATTTTGACCACAATAAGAAAGCTATTTAAGGCCAGATAAATCAATGCACACTCTAGGTCGTCTAAGAGGGTGCAGATTCCACCATCAAATCATGTGAAGTCATGCATTCTTACACCACAATAAGTAATCAAAATATTGAGTATATGACACACTCTAAAAGGATGAGTCATCTACATTTCAACAGAGTCAAAACATGTAACATATGAACAAGTTTCGGTTTAGAGATAAATGCAAAAAAGTCTAGGCTTATGGTATGACACTTCCCTTAGTCTCAACTATCAAATGAAAATGTACAATGTTTGACGTAATTACATTTTTATCCGTGTTGACGAGGAACTGAATCTTGGCCTTTACCAATTCCATGATGGTTGTTATTATGTAACTTCAAGTAAATTATGGTAATTAGACAGTAGCGAAGTAATAAAGGTTTTGCCTCATAATATAAACTCTGTTGTAAAAATTGGACCAGACGGCCGCCATTTACAGGTATGCACCTCTAGTTACGTGGTTCATTGCCAAGGCAGAGCCAACCATTAAAAACAAATACAGAGTACTACGTAGTGCAACCAAATTATGTCACTTTAGTAAGTAATTTAGATGTTTTTAATTATCTAATTAGAGCTAATTTATCATATAGAATAACTTTTTGGTAGGGCTTAAAAAGTCAAGCCTTACTGTTATTGTGTAAACCAACCCAGACATATTAGTAAGTAGTATATCTGTATATGCCACTCAAAAGTAGGCTCGGGGTACAAAGAGAAACACTTACTATTCGTTTGTAAAAGCCATGCATGTAACTCAAACTTATGGAGAGAAATAAAACTAAGAACCATCGACGGACAAGGCGGCAGCCTACTGACAAAAGCCTGTCAAGCTTCTACTACAATTATACTACTCGTGTTATAGTCACAAATTTGTATCTGCTTTCGGTAAAACATGTGATTTGCATGTTATAAGAATCAAGAGAGCCTAAAAAAAACTTCCCACCAACTATATACTGCAAATATGCTTCAGTGAGGAGAAAGGCTGTGTATAACCAGATTGATACTGATAAATTTAAACAAAGTAAAAATACGCATCAAATAAACACCGGATACATTGGTATGTTTGTAAAAAATTTAATAACATGCATTTGTGGAAAAAGAAGAATGATAACAATAATCAATACAATAAGTTTATTCACAAGTCACGAATCAAAACTAACCTTTGTGCCAAAAGGACCTTCAGGATAGTTGATGTCAAGAAGCTTCTTCCCCTGCAAAAAAACAAACAAATGGAGGATTAAAAACACTGCACAGGAAATGATAACCAATCCATCTAGACAAGAAACATTCACAGACACACAAGCAAACATATGCACGCGTGTTACAGGACTCACTTCAAGCTCCGCTTCGATCTCTTCACGTTCGTGACCGGTAGCAATAGGCATTACATCCTCCACTCGCTTCTTCACAGCGCCACTTGCTACACGAACATTTCAAACAAAAGGATCAAACTCAAAACTACATCCATACGCAATCACAAAAACACAATCTCAAACAAATGAAAACGAAATCACTCACGAATGTCATGATCTATGGACCTCTCACACTCGAAATCGCAGAAACATAAATGAAATTTCACCTGAATCGGCGCCGAATCCGCGAGACTGAACGGAGACGGAAGGGCGAAGCGCGGCCGCGAACGACGACGCGGATGACGACGGCGCGGCGGCGGCGGCGAATCGGCCGGATTTCGGAGCGGATCGAAGAAGCTGGATAGAGAGCCGTCTCCACATGGTTGCGAATCTGTTCTCAGGTGCGCCCCTTTGGGAGAGAGATATCGAAACCTGCAGCGGATTGATTGCCTTTCCCTCTCTTCTTCCTTTCGTCTCAACCTTTTTGGAAATGGGAAATGGTCCACTGTGATTCCTAGCTTTTGGGGGTTGTTAGACTCGCTCATGCCAGAACAGATTATGGGCTTATACAGAGATTCACATTTTGGGCTATTCTAAGTTGCCGCTTAAAGTTTAAACGGAGCCCAATACAACGAATCTTACTTTCTAGGGCCCTTGTTTGGTAACACAACATTTTCAATTTGTTAATAGATTAATTTTTAATGTTACAGATCAATTTTGAATATACTAAAATTAAACGTCACCAATAAATAACATTTTCGAAATATTAAAATAGAATGTTGAAGTTATTGCCAAAAACATCTAAGCTTCGACATCTCTATATTGGGTGATTGGTCGTTTCTTTTATATTTAATTTCCTAAGGAATGTAAAATAAAATATTATCTCCGTCTCTCAGTAGTTAGTTATTTCGTTTTAACTTTTTGTCATCAATAATTTTAAAATTTGACCGATTATTAAATCATATATATATCGCATATTAATTAGATAAACTAATATAAAACATAAAACATAAATTTGAGAAATTACCTTTTCATTTCTTATGGTTAAATTATACTCCCTACGTCCCACTGTGTTTGTCCACTTACCTTTTGGCACACCATCCAATGCACTTCTTTAATCCATTTTATCTTGTAATTTGTACATTAAAAAATTATAGAAATTATATATTACTCCCTCCGTCCCAAAAAGATTTACACGTTTCAAAAAAATTGCGTCCCATAATCACTTACCCATTTCTATTAAAAAACCACTTTTACCCCTTACTTTTTCAAACCCTACCTATCACATCATACCTTTTTCCTAATAATCTACACATCACATCCTACTTTTATCCATCACATCAAGGGTATTTTTGGAAAGTCAACACAGATTTATCCCTCTCTTAATTTCAACTTTAGTCAAAATGAGTAACACTTTATGGGACGGAGGGAGTAATAATCTATATGTTAAGACGAATCAAACAAGATCACACATGACTATTTTTAGGCTTACACATTAAGAGAATTTGATGAGTCAAAGTGCTTAGATGAACAGTTACAAAAGTCAAATGTGGACAAAGAGAGTGGGACGGAGGTAGTACTACGTATGTAGTACAAATTATCTTTAAAAAAATCATTGATAATTTGACCACTGCACACACATATGAATAATTTGACTGAAATTATTTTCAATTCAATTTATACTCGAGCATAAAAATTGGGTGAGATTAATAAAATTTACTAATTGAAAATTGCATTAAAAAACTCTACTCCCTCCGTCCCATTTTAAATTGCCTGTTTGCCTTTTTTCTCTGTCCCAAAATAAATTTCCTGTTAGTTGTTTTCGTAAACTTTTAAAAATAAAATACATAAACTACCCTTAAAATAAGTCACTCTTTTTCACCTTATCTTCTCATTCATCATTACCGCTCTTAAAAAGTAATGTCAATTTCGAAAAATCAACTCTATTTTTTATTTTCTTTAAATATGCCCAAAAGTCAAAACGGGCGATTTAAATTGGGACGGAGGGAGTATAAGATAACACATGACATAAGTATATTATTTTATCAAATGAGTAACAAAATATCTTTGACTGCCTGTTATGTCCACTTAAATAAAGAAATGAACAAAATTTGACTTTGCAAATAATAAACAAACCGTTTGATCGGGTGACAGAGGACGTATATACGAGAGAGGGGTCAACAAGAATGAAGGTTCAACGACAACCCAAGACAAGGAATATGTGATTCAAAAATGATGCATTAGCATACAACAGCCATCAATTGTACAACTATGCACTTTATGGGGCTCATGAATTCCTCCCATGGCCAAAATGTGTATGCTTATAATATATTGAAACATAAACCATTCAATAGAATAAACTATTGAATAAAGTAGTAGTCTCTGACTCTTGGGTCAACAAAACACATTTTCCGGCAAAAAAAGGCAAAATCAGCAAGAGCTTAGAGCTTTAGTGATGGTGACTGTCATCCTCGTCCTCACCGTGACCATCCGGAGGTCCTCCCGGCCCAACAACCTCCAGCTGCAAAACAAGGAAATACTTAAAATCAAGAGTAAATTCCACAAACGGTCCTCAATATTTAAGGATATTTCGAATTTAGTTCAATTATGTAGTGACAAATTCTTTGTAGATTTTGAAAAGTTGGTACATCCCTGATCTTGTTCCCGTCTCCGTACAACTTAGGTTGCGTTCCGTTCGCCTGATCTGGTCTAATATTTTGAAGTTCTAATCTGGTCTCATCTGATCAGATGGATCCGATCTGATGTGAATGGATCTGATCTGATTTGCAACTTAGGTTCACTACTTTATGGAATTCTATTGGAGGTAGCAATACCAATCTCAATCCTCTTTCTATCATAGATCTTCAAAATGCCTCAAACTAAAGTATCAATGCTCTAATTTTTAAAAGATCTTAGTTGATATTTACTGGCATAGAGGATTAGCCCCAGAAAATGTTCACAGTTAATGTGGGAGTCCAATGAAATTGTATATAGTGAACTGAATGCCAAATATCCTTAATTATAGAAGACCATCAATGATGTTGGGCTGTAATCATTCATCGTCGACATCCTCATTAATACCCAACATTTTCACAATGACGGAAGCGGTAAAAGATCATTTGGTAAAATCTTTTTTCAGCTTACAAGTCCAATCAACCAGATTTTTCACAAACACTAATCCATTCTCAATGCACTAGATAAATCGGCTTAAAAGGGATAAGGCATCTTTCCCTTGCCATGGCATTTTCTGAAATGCAACAATACCTTAGAAGTCAGGCGTGAGCTGGAAATTTAACAGGTAGTGAACTTACCACAAAATATTGCGAACAAACAGGGCATTCATGCGGCTTGTCCTTCTCCAGCCAAAACCAAACAACATCATGCTCTTCTTCTGTGATGTGGAGATAGGGAACAATCAAAAAACATTTTCTATCATGCAAAGACATCATCCACAATGAAATGGAAGGACATTATAGTTTGGGTTTTATGCAACATACCGCCTTCACCTCCAGGGCATCCTATGATTCTTTTGTCATAGTAGGACTTGATGACAGCTGGTGCTTCCTACGAGCAAATATAGAAAGTCAAAGAGAGGTTTGTGTCAACCATAAGGTCAAATTTGATAACATATTCAACAAAGAATAGATTGAGATGACCTAATCTAGGGGTGGGCACGGGCCTGGCCAGTTTTAATAAGAGTGTAAACCCAGCCCGGCTTGTTTTTATACTGAACATAGAGGGGCAAGTTGTTGAAATTAATAATTAGAACCCGCTTTAACCAGATTGTTACAAACTAGTCAGTTCCACGGGTCTATGATCTCTTTTTTGATTAAATCATGATTTTAGAAGTTTTACAAACCAGACAGCAACTTAAATGAAAATAGAATACTAAGAATTATGAAACCAATCTAAAAATTTCAATGCTGAAATAATGCTTTTGAAAAACAAACTACAATATGCAACCCCAATCAAAACTTTCCACCAATAGAATATGCAAAAAGAAAAAGCGGTAGTTCACTATAATCTATTTATTATATTTATAAACTTATTAATGCATTATTGGACATACTATGATCTATTTCTCAATACAATTCATTGATATTAATCTCAATATTGAATTAAAAAAAACTAAGAATGCAATATTCTAAGGAACACGCTGGCCAAGGTCTAATAGCTAAAAAAGTTTTTGAACCGGTGAAAATTTGGATCCCCCCTAACGCAACCCAAACTGTGCAGTTTGGTTCTGAGTTCTGACCCATGGTTCCAAGACCCATATGTGCATCCCTAACATTATCGATAAAGCAAAAGTATAATCAGGGACTGTTTAAGTTATAAATAATGATCAGTGAGAGTGTAACCCCATCACTTCAAAGTTCAATGAAATACAATAACACATACATAACACAATTTGGATCAAGCTTACACAAAAAAAAACCCTGCCTTTCAGACCACCCCAAAGGAAGATTAAAATTTAAGGATACACAATCACGCAAAGTTGTGTCTTGTAGGTGAAGGCGGTATGTTTCATAAAACCCAAACAAGTTGTATTAGAGTGTAAGACGAGAAAAGGATGAAAGGACCCTTTGAATACACTCACAACAAGAATGCTACCAAAAGTCTGATAAATCAATGCATATTCGATGAGTGTCTGGGAAGAAGATTCTATAGTAAAATCATGTTAAACCATATCACCATGCATTCTTGCGCCACAATAAGTAATAATGTGACGCACACTCGCTACGAATGTAGAATCTACACAGGGAAATCGTGTAACATGACAAGAAGTTTCAGTTTAGGGATAAATGAAAGAACAGTCAAGGACTCAAGGCTTATCTTATAAAACATCTACCCTTAGGCCTTGTTTGGGAACAACGTTTTTTATTAGAATTACCATTTTAGATAAAAAAAAAAATTAATGGTGTAGATTAATTCTGAAAACAAACGCTGACGCTAAAAGCTACCATCCGATAGCCTTTTCAAAACGTCAACGCTAATCACTAACGCTGATGCCAAACGGGGCCTTAGTCTCAAAGAAGTGAAGAACAATGTTTGATGTAATTAGCTAATTATATATGTATTCTTATAAGAAACCCTGGCCTTTACCAATGTCATGATTGTTTGTATTTTGCAAATGGAAGAAAGTTATTGTAATTACATAAATTGAAAGTATTTAAGTTTTTTTCCTCATGAGTTTGTGGTAAAACTGTTGTAAGAATCAGAGAACTCGGCCACAGTTTTACCTATGCAACTCTAGTTAGGGGGTTGACCACCAAGACAGAGCCTATTTAAAAAAAATTACATCATTTTATGGAAACAGCCTCTCTGCTTTTGGTTAGGGGCAAGTTTTGCATACACACACCCTCCCCAGACCCTACTTCGTGAGATCCAACTGGTTGTTGTTTGCATTTTATTCAATAAGTTCATTGTTTTTAATTATGAGTTAATTTATCACATCGAATACAGAATTGGAAGTTCCAACTTATTATTATCATGTAAGCCAAACCAAACAAAACATACCAGTAAATCCTACTCAAAAGTAGCATCTGGGTATGGAAACCATGCCTCTACTGCTAAGAGTAAAGAGAGGCCACTTGCTATTATTATATGCGGACATGAACCTAGCTCCAACTTATTACGAGTATAAAAATTAACAACTGTCTAGGTGCACTACCGCGGTCCACCAACCTAAGCCTGTGTGCTCACTTCTACAGCTATAAGTATAAATATGTATATTCTTTTAGTAAAACATCTATTTCATGGGTTTTAAGCAAGCTGCAACAAAAAAAATGCCTACTACAAACTGAAAATTAGCTTCAATGAAGAGAAAAGGTTTGTTTAACGAAATGGATCCTTCAATTTAAGATAATAGAAAAAAGCATCAAATATGCAAACATTGGTAAGTTATGGAATTAAAGAAGAACAATGTTAACAACATTCATCAATACAAGAAGTTTATACACTAGTACAGAATTTAAACTAAGTTAACTAACCTTTGTGCCAAAAGGACCTTCGGGGTAGTTAATGTCAAGAAGCTTCTTTCCCTGAACAAAAAAAACAATGGAAGTTTTAAGACACCATACTGAAAACTTTATCTGATCCATACAGATAAAATAAACATTCACACAGGTAAGTTAATTCAAATGTAGGGGGGTGTTAGGACTCACTTCAAGCTCGGCTTCGATCTCTTCACGCTCGTGACCGGTAGCAATTGGCATTACATCCTCCACTCGGGTCTTCAAAACAGCAGTTTCTACTCAAGCATTAAACGCAAAGGATCAAATTCAAATATNCAAAAGGACCTTCGGGGTAGTTAATGTCAAGAAGCTTCTTTCCCTGAACAAAAAAAACAATGGAAGTTTTAAGACACCATACTGAAAACTTTATCTGATCCATACAGATAAAATAAACATTCACACAGGTAAGTTAATTCAAATGTAGGGGGGTGTTAGGACTCACTTCAAGCTCGGCTTCGATCTCTTCACGCTCGTGACCGGTAGCAATTGGCATTACATCCTCCACTCGGGTCTTCAAAACAGCAGTTTCTACTCAAGCATTAAACGCAAAGGATCAAATTCAAATATTCAATACTATCTCTACGCAATCACAAAATGGCATGTAAAAAAAATGAAACCACTCAAAATCTCATGATCTAGTGAAGCCCTGACACTCAAAATCGCAAAAAAAAATCCAAAAATTTTGAATTGGTACCGAAGCCACGAGAATGGAGGAAAAATGAAGGGCGGAGCACGCCAGCGGACAATGGTGCGGCGGCGGCGGCGCTGGCAAATCGGCCGGATATCGGAGTGGATCGGAGAAGATGGACGGAGAGCCTTCTCCACATGGTTGCCGGTACAGGATTACCGAATTCCTCTCGATCGCCTTGGAAATGAGAAATGATGCACTGTACAAACGGACCATATACTCGGGCTTTCTAAGTTTGATCCCAACAGTTCATATTAGCGACAAAAAAGAATACTGTAATACTTTGGGCTGTATCCAAATTCAACTGCGTAAAGTCTGAAATAAGCCCATTATAAGGGCTTCTTATAATGTTGTTTTTATTGTAATTTTATAAACATTGATTTGCTAACTATTCTCTTGCTAATATAAATGCTAATTTTACATTGAATAATTATTATTTTTATCATATTTTAGTAAAGTATTTTGCATTTTGATCTTTGGCGTTCTAACTTGGATAATCATCATCTAAGTTTTTATATAAAAACTCATTATCTTAGTTATATTTTTATCAACCTAAAACATTTTTTAAACAAAAATTTATTTTATAGCATTAAAGAGTTAGTTGAAGTTTATACTTTAAGAGAATTAATGTATTTATAAATTTTTACAATATTATTATAACCATGTCACCTCTTAAGCTGCTATATAAAGAATTTCTTGTAATTTTTTTATATACGTACGGATTATGAGTCTATTTTTTTTAATATATGTACCCAGTATGGGATATGAGTCTAATTTTGAAATGTTATGCTTCAAAACTCACTCAAGCTTTGTTATCTAGAATGAAACATTCAATTCAGGACAAAGGCAATATCAAGGCAACATCATTAACATCAAATAACTTTTTTAAAAAATAAAAAAATATACACACACAAAACATAAAGTTGATATAAAACCTAGCTATACTTAAGATTATATTTATAAAGCACAAAGATGGATTAAAATTTTGGGGCTCTATATTTTTAAAAACATGGGTTAAACACTTAAACCCACAAGACGACCGGCCTTGATAGTTGATACAAGCCTTAATTACAAGTTATGGAAGACGATGGGGGCTCCATGTTGGGGTTGCAAAAGCATAAGCACGGTCGGAGAATGTTGGTAAGATGGTGCCAACTCAAAGGAGAAGCGTTGTAGGATCATTGCCATTGCTAACTTGGCCTGTAATATGGCCAAGTTTTGCCCGACACATTTTCGTTCCCCTTGACCGAAGGGCATGAAGGCCATCGCGGGATGGCTGCACGGCATTTGGCATCCTGGTGGTGGCCGGGCAAACCTTGCAGGGTTGAACTCATTCACGTCATTGCCCCACAATGTGGGGTCGTGATGTATGGCTATGATTGGTACGAGGAGTTCTGCCCCCTTTGGTACCTTGAGCTCCCTGAGTTGTACGTCCACTTTGGCTCTTCTGACAATGGCTATTATTGGTGGGTAAAGCCTGAGTGACTCGTTCAAAATCATTCCTAGCTGCAATATGATCGAGAGAGAATTGTCGTTAGCAATATGGTTATTAAAGTGATGCAATTTGTGGGATGCAAGCAGAGGGATGCATGGGGTTTTTTTCTAGTTGGTGTTGGGACCACACGTACTCTCACCATAATCTTACATTAGTTTGATATTATTCATTCTAGACCAGTTCCTCACAAATTTCTTTTTAACACCTCTCAAAACACTTCATAACAAATGATCATTTGGGTTGAACCTATTTAATTATATAGGTCTTTTTTCTTTTTTTTTTTCCTATGGCGTGGGATCAAGTTTGTACTCCAAGAGTATGAACTTTGGAGTATCAATTTTTAAATTTAAATATCGTAGGATGACCGTGGATCTTAATATAATTTAAAAGTGTGCTTTTTTTTGCCTAAAAATTAAAGAAAAATGGGTAGGGAAAGAGTATTATTTACCGTTTTGAGATTGGCAAGGTCATCTTTGGAGGGGGGGTCATGTGCGCCGCAAACCCTAAGCACCTCCTCACGTGCCAGCTCCATGAGATTCGTCGTCGTGTGTTTCCCGGCAAAGAAAAGGGTCTTGCACTCCTCCACCACATCGTCGGTGGTCGCCGCCGCCGGCCGACTCGCCCCATTCCCGCCAGCTACAACATTATTATTATTATTATTATAATTGCCAGTCTCTTTGATCATCAAATCCAATAAGCCTTTTGGGCCGCATTCTCTTGGCAAGTCCCGGCCTCCACTCGACGACGACAAAAGAGCCCTCCTCCTCTCATCAATCAGCTTCACTAAAGAGTGTCTTACTTCTTTATCCAATCTCCAAAACTTCCTATTCTTCTCTGTTGGCAAAAACCTACCATAAAAAGAAAATTGAAAAAATGTTTAAAACATTATAAAAAAAGGACTAAAATATGAGTTATACAATGTCACATTCTCGCAGTCCAACACTCAAATTTTAAATATTAAAAAATGTTACCTCTATTTTGAAAATACAATTATGTTTTGTTTCTATATCGGTGATATCTTAAAAGATTATGACCTGTGGGCAGAGCCTCACTTGTGTGTTGGGCGATTCGACCTTTTTTCACGGGGGCATTCGTTAGAGGCGGATCGGGCTCGGCATCCTAGGTCCAACTATAAATACATAAATGAATTGGGCTAGTTGTATTTGGAATTTTGGCCAAATTAAAGGTCAACTTTCAATAATATACACAATACCCATCAACCCACTTTATACAAAGTACTCGCTCTGTCCTATATGGTACACTATCAGTCATTTTCTGTTTTTCTTTACTTATATTTGTTAATGTAATTTTTAAATATGTAAATTTAATTTCAAAAATTTTGTATACTAACAATTTCAATAGTTAAATTAAAAATGAATTTGACCAAATCTTGTGTGTTATGGGCAAAACAAGACTTTAATTAGTTATGGGACTATCTTGACTAATGAAGAAGAGACAAAAACAAAAAAAAAACAAAGACTAAGGAAAGTCTTAGGTATATGTACATATATATACCTGTGCCCAGGAATAAATATCTTCCGGAAAGCCTCGGTGGCATACGCCATCTGTTGCGCCTGCAGTTGGAAGATGGATGATGATGATGATGATGGGGTTCCGTCTTCTTCGCAACGGTGTCCGAAGATGACGTGGCAGATGACGGATTCCGTCAGCCTCTCGAACCACTCGCAGACATCGATTTCCACCTTCCCCGTCGCCGTCTTTGACATTTCCGACCACTTGTCCAACATCTCCCTCACTCCCTTCCCCATTGTCGGGACCATGAGCTGTAATTTTGTTTCATTTTTTTCCATTTATTAATTAATTACTCCGTATGATATATAGTCCGATACTATTAAATGAATAAATAAATGTACGGTCAAACAAATCTTAAAGTGCTCCGTAATCTGTGTGGGCTTTTACGTTTGAATTTGACTAATTGCGTAACGGCTTTGTTATTATTATCCTTTTTTACTGTGTTTACATTGCTGAAATCATGAATGTAATGGTTGACTTCCTTGCACACTTTTTTTTTTAATTATTATTGTTTTAATTTAAATCAAAGAAAATTGTCTCATAAGAAATCAAGAGTGAATGGGATTCACTTAACTAGGGGGCACAACAACCTTTAAACAATTGGATTTAATGAAACTAAAAAAGATTAACTGAATCCAATCCGTTATCTGATCTCGATTAATTCAAGACTTTATTGTTCATTTAGGAAGTTGTTAAATTCACTCTTTAATATAATTCGTCTCCTGATCTTTTCGTATTGGATATTTTAACAAAATCGTAGACTCTAATTGTAAATTATCAATAACTGATTAGATTCAATATTATATCTCACATTGAGACTTAATCCAAAATAATGAGCTAATTCAATATTAGTATACTAAATTAAATAAAATATATAATCTACTTCTAAAAATTAAACTATATAATCGGTTGAGTTCAATCTGTTAGTGTGATTTGTGTATATTGGGAATCAATTCAAGATATACAGAATATAAATTGAAGAGAAATCATTTTTTCTTTTAAACATTTTTGTATGGGAAAAGGAACTTTTTTACAAAAGAGTATTCAATAATTCATCGATCACTAATTTAAAAGAAATTAGTGAAAAAAGTTGACAAAGTTAGTAAAAAAATAATATTTGATACCAAATGGATGGGTACTTAATTATTAATTTAAAAGTTATCTTTATTAGTGCTCCGTAATAAATTAAATTAAAAGTCATTTCTTACCGTACCAACAAAAGTCATTTAATTTCTTTTTAACTGGAACCCAAATTTAAAGCCATTAATTAAAGACTACATCTAGGGGAGCACAATTAATATTTTACAGCCATTATCGAAATAAATTTCAGTGTTTAGCTTTACAAACTTTAATGAAAATATTAAAAACAACTCCGTATTTTAATGTCCTACTTTTTTTCTAAATCTAACCTAACATGTTGCACTTTTGAATCATAAACCATATTGCAAAAAAAATAAAAAAATAAAAAAATAAAAATTAACATATTACTCTTTTACGCCTTCCCTAGTATGATATTTTTCGAGCCTTACTCGTATTAATTGTTGATCATTTGCCTTTAGCCAAACATCTACAGCTTCTCCAAAAAATTAATTTAAAAAGAAATATTTAAAAAAAACAGATCAAAAGAAATATATGAGAGAGAAAAATTCGAAACGCCATGTTTCATTCTTAAATAAAAAGTTGGAATTCAAAATCTATTTTGATATAACCGAAAAAGATAAAGAGTAAAATTTATTTTACGAAAAATTAAACAAATTAAATCGTGGACTCGTTTGACAACAGAATAAGGGTCCGTTTGGTATACGGAATTGATGGAATTGGAATTGAAATTTCATGTGATTCAATTCCATATAATTGAATTCACCAATTCCAATTCATTTTTTGCACTATCAATTCCAAATCCACATAATTTTTATGCTACCAAACACTAGAATTAGAATTGAATTCTTCAATTTCAATTCTATAGTTTGAATTTCGTGTACCAAACGGGGCGTAAGGGTTACCATTAACATTTTGAGAAGGTTATTTTAAGGGATTAGCATTATTATCATTATCCCATACCTTGAGATTTTCTAGGTAAAAGGCCGGGGAGATGAGTCTTCTATGGTGAGCCCATTTTTCCCCTTTGAGATTCAACAAGCCGTCGCCTTCCAGCTTCTTGACCAGCGGCGGTGAGTCGTTCTTCTCAAAGTATTCCGATTTCGATATGAAAATCTCCCGCAGGAGCGTTGGGTCGGAGATGGTTACCCTCGCCATCGTCCCAAACCACACCACAAACGTTGAACCTTCGCACACATAAGGAAAGTAATAAATAAATTAATAATTGATATTAAATTTATACCATTACGTACGTTATTAGAGTACTAAATCATCCCATCAATCCATAAGCCTTCAACCACAACTTTTATCGATCAATTTTTTGGCTGAATTAGATTTTTTATATAGGATCAGGGTCTGCTGACATAGAAGTCACAAAGTTATTAAGTTCCAACTCAGAGAAACACCCTCGCTTAGTTATTACTTATATACTCCGTATATATTTTGCATATTATTTGATCAGAATTAAATCTAAAATTTGGCCAGAAAGGTTAGATGAAAAGAAAATTTACGGAACAGAGCTAGAGTTCGAGTAATAATAAAAATAACGTACCATAGATTTTCTTCCAGTGTGAATAGAAGGAGAGGACTCTAGGAAGAATGTCATGGGAGAGGGGCATGGGGTGGGGAGAAGGTGTCAATCTTGCAATCTCTTTGATGTTGCCAAAGAAGAAATTATATTTTGGACCAAAAACTCCCTGCTTATTGAAATGGTTTTCGAATCTTCTTGGGATCCACCATAGGTGCAAAACGGTCTTTAGTGCTAAGAAGATGAAGAGATATGCAATAACCAGAAACCACAGCCATGGGAAGAAGTTTTCCATCTTTGCTTATGATATTTTCTTGTAGAGAGAGAGAGAGGGGGGG